AAAAAATACATATTATTGCAGTGCTGTAACCTAATTTTCCCTTTTAAGTTCACAGAGTTTTGTTTGTAGGAGAGATTAAGTAGTACTTAAGTAAGCTATTGCAAGGTGATTGGACTGTATGTGTAGCTTTAAAGTATCTTATACTTGTGCGACTTTTGCCTGATATCCAAGAAGCTAAATGTTCTGAATTTACAGTTCAAACTTTGCCCCCCCCCCCTCCTTAGGAGCTCCTAAGGGGAGGGGGGCAAAGTAAAGAATTTTAAAAAGGAAAATTACAATATAAAAGAATGGATACAAATTTTCAATAACAGACAATTTCGTAAAATGAATACCATAACCCATAAAGAAAGTAATGTTTCACCAACTCCATGTGCACATAGATTCTGTCTGCGTATGAAAGTCTCATTAATTTTCAAGACAGGGTCGACTTTGAAGTGTCGCAACGCCGTGGGCTTTGAGTTTACCGCTCTAACTCAGTTATGTTTTTCTGTAGGATGTACATTTTAGCAATGAAAAGCACTTGTTATTAGCTTTGGTTTTAAAGAAGTAATTGGCAAAATACTCATCGATTTTTGCTTGAGATCTTGGAACCTTGAAATCACTGTGATTGATATTCTGTTTCTTTTGTTTTCCATTTAAATTGAAAAATATTTTAATTTAATCAGGTTTTTTATTTGGGTTTCAAATTGCAGTTTTTGGTCTTCGTATATTTGGAATTTAAATTTCATTTTTGTACTTGAGATTTTCAGGTTAAAAATGGCGCTGTTTAAATTTCGGCGACAAGAAAGCGAGGTAAAAAATATTTTTCTACAAAATACAAATCTGATTTGAGATATTTGGCTCCAAGGTTTAATAAGTGTTTATTTGTCTGTGACACTGATATAGTAGTTCTTTCTCTTTTTTCTTCAATTTTTTAGATTAAAAATATTATTAGTTTTTCAAGGAGAAAATAAAACTTTTATTGTATTTGTGGAGTATATTTCTGGGTTAATCCAACCCTGCCAAATTTATCACGGAGATACAGTGACAACCAGAAAGCTGTGGAATAGGAAAACGACATTATAGCAATACCTTTGTGTATTTTATGTTGTTACAAAGCAAAACGTGTAATTATAGTAAATTACTTTTCAAGCTAATGGAGTCTGTTTACACTGTGCCTTATGTTCATTGGACTATTTAAACTATTTCATATCTTGAGTCTATAAGTCGTCTTCCTATTCAGAGTTTTCTGGTTCTTACTGTATGATATTGTAGACAGTTCACTTATCAAGATTTCTATAATTTGATAAAAAAATTCAAATTTCAATAAAAGGTTTTGATCCATAATAAAAAAGAATCTTTTAAATATATTTTAGAAAAGCTTGCAATATGATATAATCTAAGGTTAACAATAATAATGTTTATTATCTTTTGACGGAAACCAAGCCAGGGTTGGCAAAATCTAAGGGATTAAGTACATTATCCTCTAACTTAATAGTTGTCAATGTGAATATCGAGATCAAGGAGGTGTAGATTAGCGCTACATTTTCAAACATTATTTAATACTTACACCCTCTCGCAGCCACATGCAGTAAGCTGAAAAAAAAATTTCAGAAATGGGGAATTTCTGCCCCCCCCCCCCACCTTTCGAATAATTTTTTCCCAAACATTTTTAAATATTGTTTATTTGTGTTTGTGCCCTAAAATCCACTAAGATATTTTTTCTTTTTATTTTCAATGATTTTCAATCGGAAAAATACACACTCCTGAAAAAAGAATTGTTCTTATTAATATAGCAAACTTAAAAATGCTAAAGATAAATATCAATTTTATAATATTGTGAATCTGACTGTGTGTCAAGTTAAACTTTAAAACTGAGTTGCTTAATTGGGAATAATACTTTTGAAATGTTGAATCAAGTTTCAGAAATCGACAACTCAAGAGTTAACAATCAGTAGAAAAGCAAAACAATGAAAAGCTAAATTTTAAAAAACTTAATTGTATTTAAAATATATATGTTTAGACATACACCACTTTTATTAACAGGATTAAAATATTTAAACCTCTAACTAAACTTTTTATAAGAGGATTAACAAACTCTATTTTTATGTGAATTTAAAAAGAAAATCAAAAGATAGAGTGTAAGCAAGTTTAGGGCCCTTTGGGGGCCCTCTGGAGTCTCATACCTAGTAAGTGGACTTTTACCCAGATTTTCAGAGAGAAAGATTTCCCGTTTGCTAATTTTAATATTTTTGTTCACTATATCTATTCCTTAATCATGGACAAACTGCATATCTGGGATAGCGCTTACCCCCACCTGGACTTAAGTTTGATTTTTGTTTTAAACCGGGACCTTCAAGAGATGATTTAAACAGGTTGACGGATAAAATCAAACCGTCAAGGGGGGATGAACAAGTTTTTACTCAGATTTCAGAAATATGTGATGTTTTACCAAGGTTGTAAAGTAAGGTTAGATACTCTGGATGCGCTCCAATGTACTAGAAATGTCGTCTTCATATCGATTTAAACTTAAAATCATCGTATGACGTGATTTTTGGCGGAGGATGATCATCTATTTAGTTTGAAAAGCATTTATGTACTCAAATCTGGAAAATGGAAAACTCCTAAATGCTTTAAACCTAAATCAAAAATTATACGCAAAATTATCAAAACATTGAGGTAAAATTATCATTGATCATTAAACAATGAATAGTAGTTCTTTTGGGATAATATTTGGTAAAGATCTGTTTCTTGATTCAAAAATTTTATCATTTCTAAAATGTTATATTTTAGGTAAAATGGCCGACAGCAACCCCGGCAGGAGTTGAAGCCTTCAAAGAGTTCTACGATGCTGAAACATTTCAGGTTTAGAAGTTTTGTTTCTTTGACGTTTATATTACTTCCAATGTTAATTCTCCTGCGTGTTATGCACTTATAAAGTGTATAATGTTTTTGGATTTAAAATTACTTTTTGTTTTGTTTTATTATGTCTAACATTTGATGTTTATGTTTTATACAGTGATGATCAGAAAGACCCGGAATTGACAGTTAATCAGGAGACTTTTCATATATATCTCTGGAAATTTTAAATGCTCAAAAAAGGCAGACCACATGTTGGAATTGGCAGGAAGCGATATTTTGTGATTATCATTTCATCAATTTTATTTCTAAAATTAGATAGTAAAGTCGTCTGTACATTAATTCCGGGTCTTTCTGATTAGGACTCTATTATATTTACTTAAATATTACTATCCTAGGCTTTTAGGGCGCTTCGCACCCATCTTCTATTTAAATTGTGAACATGTTCTTTTTGTTTACATTTTAAAACAAAGAAGAAAAAAATTTAGGGATTTTTAAAAAAAAATACGCGGATTTTAAAGAATTTAAATTTTTTTTACAAAATTAAAATTAAAACATATTTTTAAAAATTTTTTATCATTCATAAACCTTCCCTGTGGCCACGTGATGTCCCACAAAAAATGTGGGCCCGATCGGTTCAGCCGTTTTGACGTTTATTGGATACAAACAAACAAAAAGACAGACAGACACTAAGACAGATAAGCCAAATTTATATATAGATTTTCAATTATACTTTATCAAGATGAGCCAATTTCAAATTCTGTGAATTTTATCAATTAAAATTTTTTATTTTTTATTTTAGGAAACCCTGGACTCCTTCAAAAGAGTTTGTATCGGAGCCAACGTTTCAAGGTTCAAAATACACTGCAGTGATGCAGCTCAACGTTTTTTCTCTAAACTTTTATAAAATACAGCATACAGTGGGACTCGTAAAACTATGGAATAGGATCTGCTACACTCAAGCTATGTGTTTTATTTTATTTTATTAGTAAACAGTACAGTAGCAATTATGTAGTGTACACAGAACCATTTAATTTCATGGGTTTTAGCAAAATACTTTATATCAACATCAAATACATATAACATTGTTTAAATGACATCTTCATATTCTACAGTATTATGGGTCCCCCTGTGTATACTGACTTAGGATGAAATTATTTGTTTTCAGGGGAGGAAGATATTCGGAATTTTTTCCTTATCTCAAAGCGGCTTATAAGGTAAATAATTCCTCTGGTTCTATTTTTAATTGTGATATAAAAAATATTCTTATCATTTTTTGGTTTTGGAGTTGGTTTGTTTCAGAATAGGATTCTAAATATATCAAAAAAAAACTTTTGAAAAAATGTAGTCTATACCACAAACTCTGATTATAATCATTATATCGAAGACCTTGGATATTTTAAACAATGAATGATTCAAATAATCTAGGTTTGAAATATCAAAGGTAATACCCTAAGGTTAAAACAATATTGGGGATTAGAAACTTCAAGTTTTTGCAAAGAAATTCTTTTAGTCTTGTTGTAAGGTCTAAACATTTTAAAGGAACTTAAATTGGGCCGGACATGGTCGGACAGCACTATACAATTCTGGCTTGTGATGTAACGCACAAAATGTATTTATATCAAATACAGTGGTAGGCGATTATATCAATACAATGAAGACAACTTTTGTTTTAAATTTTAACTTATTACAACCTGTTAAACAGCTTGGATACATAGAAGTCAAGAGAAGCTGTCAATTTAAAAAGCTTCTCTTTGATTACTTGTAAACTTGTTATGCGAAAAAAAGCTTGTTAACTATCAAAACTTAAATAAAAAAGTCGTCTTTATTGCATTGTTATACTCGCTTACCACTGTATATCATACCTCCTATTATCCAGGATGTGCTACCCTACAAGTACAAGGAAATCTGGAAAATTCTGGAGAAGAAAGCTAAGCAAGAATTATATGAGAGGTAAACCTGAGCCCAGAACATTACAAAACTCCGACTTTATCGAAAAAATTCTGAATTTTTTGTTCAAAACTTGTTTTGTTATTTTTTGTTTTGTTTTTTTATATCTGTTTTCAAAGCAAAAATTTTAATTCTTAACTTTGACACAAACGGAAATGTTGAAATTCTTATAACTATACAACGTAATGAAGTAAACCCTTGATATTTCAAACTTAGATTATTTAATCAGACGGGATTCATAGTTGGAAATATCAAAGGTCTTTAATATTAAACAGCAATGATAAAGGGATTAGAAAATTTGAGTTTGTGACAAAGACTCAATTCCTTTAGAATACGAAAACGACTTTTTGATTCTGTTTTATTATTTTTATTATTAAAAAAAATTCAATTTAGGTGAAACAAAGCAATTTTGCACCATGTCCCTTTAAACAAACCCATTTCATGAAATAAATTGATTTTAAAGCAACTGGTAAAACTGCATTTAAACAACATTAAACATAAGATTTATTAAAAGTTTTAGTATTAGAAAAATTGGTTCTCATGAAGTTTAGAAAAGAAATAGAAGATACTGACAGAAGGGAGCTTAGTGTAATTTCAAGTGACCCTCCATGCAAAGATGACAATGCTCGATTAACAACGGTACCCTTAAAAACTTTGTCGGATCAAATATGAAATAAATATTCACGTTTTGTTTTTTTAAACTATTTACGTTTTTTTGGTTTTTCTGCGAAATTTAAGAAGGAATGGAAAAATTATCTGAATTAAACACTTTTGTCGTCATAAAATATTTTCCACAAAATTTACTTGAAATTACGCTTAGAGTCTCTTTAAGCTAGGAGTGGTTTAAAAATAATTGAAATGACGAAATCAAAACTCTTTAATCACAAATTCTTAACGCTGCAGGGATACTTCTGGCTTATGATAAAGTATTTAGATATTTTATATTTTCAAAGAATGCTTTAAAAAGGATTAAAGATCATGGCGAAAAAATGGCGAAAGAACAAGGAAAAAAAAGTTTTTAAAAAAGAGTTGTAACGTTGAATAATCCTAAAAGGAATGATTTCCAAAGAGAAAAAGAATCTCTTCTTTTACAGGAATACTATTGGACATATAGAGAGGAATAGAGTTTTGGTGGTGGGTGCTGGACCAGTAGGTCTTAGGTTAGTATTTTTTATTCTTGAGTTTACTATTCACAATTCAAATCTTTTTCTCGAAAAGTGAATTACGGGTTTAAGCGTCCAAAAAGCATTTAAAAAACGTTATAGCTTTTCAAAATGTAGGACACATTTTTTGTAACCAAAAATTGTATTTATTTTACATTTTATACCAATCAAAAATATGAAAATATTATTTCATCTTATTTAATCTCTTCTTGAAGTTACAGATATTACAAATTACGCTATAAACAGACTTTTATAGAAAACACTGAATGTTTAAAATGAATTAAAAATGCAACCGTGTTCACTACAAAATGTTTTGCAGTTCAAATTAATTCTAATGTTTTTGACCCCTATAAAAAACCACAAGAACTATCTTAATTCTATGTATATACTTTGCTTGTCTGTCTGTCTGTTTGTTTGCATCCAATAAACGTCAATGAAAACGGCTGAACCGATCGTGCGCAAACTTTTTGTGAGACCCCAGGGAAGGTTTATGGATAATTGAATTTTCAAAAATTTGCCTCTTAACAAAATTCGATATTTGAAAATTTTTAAAATCCACGAAATTTTTTTTATTAAATCCGCGAAATTTTTGTCGGTTTTTGTTTTACAATGCACACAATTTCCGTAATTTTGTAAATCCATAATTTTAAAGTTTTTTAAAGAGATATTAGAATGCTCTATCATGTCTATTTTGGCAAGAAAAACTTTTTTTACAAAGAAAAAACTTGCGGGTTGGTATTGAGATGTTAGAATTCTTCTACTAAAAATAAAACTATTTCAATTAAGGTTTTCATCAAAAGTTATTGCAATACAAACTCTTGAACCTTTCATGATCATAATTGATTTCCTAAAACTATATAAAACTATATATAAAACTATATAAAAGAAAACAATTGGTTTCCTCATATATATATTTATATGTTGTTTTCAAGAAAACAATTGGTTTCCTCATATGTATATTTATATGTTGTTTTCTCATATATATATTTATATGTTGTTTTCAAGAAAATCTTAAGAAAGACACAAGAGAAAAAAATATTTAAAATGAATGGATTCAAAGTTTTGTAAGAAAAAGGAACGCACGTTTTTTTCCCAAAAAAAATCTTTAAAATCATAAATCAGCTTATCTCTCTTAAACAAACTTTAAAATTTTATTCAGAAAAATTAAATATTTTAATTCTGTTTAACCCTATTCCTGCTGGGGGGGGGGAAGCGTATCCTGGTTTTCAAGTACCCCAGCAGAGATAGGGTTAATCTATTAATATGAGAGCTTGATTCATTCAAAAGTTCACAGCTCGATGCAAGCGCATGAGATTAATGGATTAGTAGTTGTACACCAAGACGTATATTGTGACGGTCGTTGGACGTAAGTTGATGAAATTCAGTATTTTCAGATAATAAGTTCCCCCTTCCTGTTTGTCAATAGAATTTGATTAAAAAATTCATAGAATTTCTATTGATGGAGAGTTTTATGAATTTTATCCAATGTTAGTTTTAATTTTTATTCATATTATTTTTCAGAACTGCTATAGAGGCCCAGCTACTGGGAGCTAGAGTCGTACTAATAGGTAATAAACATTGATTTAACTGTTAACAAGCTATACACTTAACTTTGTTGTGAACCATGGATACAGTGTATATTCCGTACAGTCGTCTCTGAAGTCTCATCCTTTTTGGGTAACCCTGTATATAATCAATTTTATATACATTTTAGAAAATTACAGCTTATCAATTAACTTAATTAATCAAATTACAAAAATCCTGTAATTAAATGCATGATGTATAAAAATGTATACTATAATGTATACCATGAACAAAACTGTTCAGAATTTAGTTTGCTTGTAAGTTGATAGCAGGCTTATTGCTAAAGTTATATATTTAGTGTAAGAAAAATATATTAATTAATTTTTACAGAAAGACGACCTTCATTCACAAGAAATAATGTTTTAAAGGTAGGTTACCCTAGTGCCATATACAACACTTATTATCATAAAAGTTATTATCATAGAACTTATTATCATAAAACAAAACCTATTATCACAAAACTTATAATAATGAATTAAAAGCTAATATTATTACACTTACTATCATTAAACTTATTATCGTGAAACGTAATTTGATAAAACCTATTATCATAAAACTTAATATCACAAAACTTATTATTAAATGGGGTTTCGAACAGAACTGCAGTCCCAATTGATCTCACCATTAAAAAAGTTAAACAAAACAAAACCTAACAGAGGCCGAATTTAAATAATTTAAACCGCGTTGCTGATACGCCAAAAACCGGTTCCAATTGAGCGCCGTCTCGAAACACTGAAAACATTTCGAGCTGAACCAACCATGTTTGAACCGCGTCTCATATTTGGACCGTGGCTCAGATTCTTTAATTTCGGCCTCGGAACACATTTTATTCGAATCTAATCAATCTACAAATAACAACATCAAACAAGAACAAAAGCTTCATCCAACACAACATATTTATTTGAAACTTTTCAAAACACAAAATAATATATATTTAATAAAAACCTATAAAACTACAGGAATCTAATCTTAAATAATTTGAAAGGGTTTCTTTTAATTTTAATGACAATTATTTGGCATTGATGTATTTGTTGAGTAGATGCTAGAGATAGAAAACATAATTTGAATTAAATATCGAAAACCAAATCAATGTATTTCCAGTTTAATAATTGAATGTTCTTTACAAAAATAACATTTTAACAAAACTAATTTTTAGTGTTTTATAAATCAAATTTACATTTCAGTATTGCCAAGTAATAACATTGCAATATGCTTTCATTAGTTCGGTTCAACAATATGTCAGTTTTTTTACAATGATTCTTGTCTAGTTACTTCTGTTGAACATTTAGATACAACTTTTTAGCATAAACTTTGTTGTATTTAGCTCTGGAAGTTTCTGATAGAGGACCTCAAATCCTTGGGGGCTAAGAAGTTCTTTGGAAAATTTGCAACCGGATCCATCAATCATATAAACATCCGGTCCCTTCAGGTACACTTCCGGTCTCTTCAGATACACTTCCGGTCCCTTCAGGTACACTTCCGGTCCCTTCAGGTATACTTGCGGTCCCTTCAGGTACACTTCCGGTCCTTTCAGGTACACTTCGGTCCCTTCAGGTACACTTGCGGTCTCTTCAGGTACACTTCCGGTCTCTTCAGGTACACTTCCATTCTCTTCAGATACACTTCCTGTCCCTTCAGGTACACTTTCGTTACCTTCAGGTATACACTTCCGGTCTATTTAGATATAACTTCTGTACATTTCTGTTCCATATAAGCCACACTTTTATTTCTGTCATGTACATTTCCGGTCTATTCTCAATGCAGTTGTACATTCACCATTCAGTCCTTTCAATTAGGTTTACGGTCCATATAGTTACACTTCCGGTATTTTCATCTTCATTTCCGGTCTATTACAGCTACACTTAATTCCAGTCTTATCGTTGGCCTTTACAGTTGATATACGAGGTGTGCTTCCCTGAAAGCAATTAGGTGTACTTGTAGAAGCCCGGTAATTATTTTTGAAGTTTATTATATCTATACCGGAATTTTTTTAAACCAGTTGATGCCAATCAGATCTTTATCGATTTTGATGGTTATTATATTGTTAGAACTGCAGACGAGGGTCAACCCAGACCGAAATATATTTTTAATAAATGTGGAACTAACATCTACTTTTCTTACTCTACAGAGGTTTGGTCCATCACCATCACCGAATTCTAAATCAGATCTTTGTTGTAATGTAAGGAGCGTTCAAATTTAAATATGAATAAGCTTCGTTGTCACAGCAAGAAAATTTTCAAACTTGCTTCATCAGAGTGGGGTTTAGACCCTTTTCAAGCAATCAACCGAAAAAGGGCTTTTGGGAATTTTTCTGGTTTTGATTTACTTTTGAGAATCATAATTTATGCAATCCTCTTGGTCCTATGTCAGAGGCTCTGGGACAAATTAAACCCAGATTTTCCCAAATTTCAAACTGTCTGGCAAACTTTCTTCTTGAAGCCATGCTATTTTGGTTTGAATAAATTTCAAAATTTTCAACCATTTTTGTGGACTGGTCATTTCCCGCCCAGACATGGCATAACTCATTATCCTTCAAATATTAATTTGTTCGTTCTTAACCCCATTAAATTACCATTAAAGTGCAGAGCATCGTTTTAAAATGCACTCTGGATCATGTTTCAGGGTTTTCCTTGGTTTTTGCATCGTTAATAAAAACATTTTTGCTGTAGCGAGCCTCCCAAATCTTCTTTATCTGGTGAGCAATCTACATATTCCTATGCTGTGACAAAGAAGCTAATCAGGAGAATACTCCTTGCATCACAACAACAATATACTAGCTGTCAACCTGGCCAAAACTGTATCCGGTATAGATTTAGTGAACTTGAAAAATAAATAGAGCTGAGACAAGCATCGTTAAAATTGTTTAGCGAAACTTTTCAGGTCCATACAGTTGTTACTTTCTTATATTTTTAAATGATAAAAATCCTAAACTTTTCTCGAAATATATTAATTATCCAATCTTTAGTTGATGTTGGTTAAAATCAGTTTAATGTTGGGAGTTATCATCTACGCTCCTTGCAAGTAAGTGTCAAAAAATACTTTTTAATTATTCATAAATTCCTAAAATGTAATTGTTTAGAAAGAAGGGGGGATTTCTTTATTATAAAGGAACTGGGCACTTGTCTCAAACTCTTATTTTCTATTTCTAATTCAAATATATCTTATAGTGTTAAACTTTAACATTTTTAAACTTTGACCTGAAAGATTATGATTTCATACGTTAAATAAATTTTTAATTAGAGAAAGAAAAAAGTCGCATTTCTTATTCTGATCTACGTGGTAGAGTCTTGACTAGATCTCAACTGCTCGTTTAAATTCAACCGCTGATTTTTTCCTTCAAAGTATGTAAAATATGATTTAGAAAAGTAGAGTAGAAGCCTAGGACGGAGAGTGATATAGATAATATTGATAATAATGATAAATTGATAATAATGATAATATTGATAATATTGATAATATTGATAATATTGATAATATTGATAATATTGATAATATTGATAATAAGGATGATAATGATAACATTAATAATAATAATAATATTGATAATAATATTGATAATAATAATAATATTATTAATAACAATAAGATAGACAATATTTAAAATAATAAAAATACATTAAGATTTGTTCGACTAGCTGAACCATCATTAACAGAAGAAGGAGCTTTGATCGCTGGTTGGCAGGTTGTTAACTTCATCCTGTCTTCCTATCTTCCTGCCTTCCTGTCTTCAATACTTCCTGTCTTCCTATCTTCAATACTTCCTTTCTTCAATACTTCCTGCCTTCCTGCCTTCCTGTCTACAATACTTCCTGCCTTCCTGACTTGCTGTCTTCCTGTTTTCAATACTTCCTGTCTTCAATACTTTCTGACTTGCTGTCTTCAATACTTCCTGTCTTCCTGTTTTCAATACTTCCTGTCTTCAATACTTTCTGTCGTCCTGTCTTCAATGCTTCCTGTCTTCAATACTTCCTCCATTCCTGTCTTCAATACTTCCTGTCTTCCTGTCTTCCACTCTTCCTGTCCTGGAAACCAAAGCAACTTAAATATCTAAAAAGAACACGTGTTCATTATTTACTATCCAGGCAATATTTGAAGAGAAGGAGAAGGAAGCGGAGGGGTATGTTTTTGACATAATAATAGGTAACTTTTAGTATTTTTTATTGTTATTATATAAACATTATATTTAATTATATATAATTATATATATATACATTTATATAATATATATAATTATATATACATTACTTACAATTTCTTTCTAGGCTTTTAGGACCATTCATAAAATTTTCCATTTTTAATCGTTTCAATTTTTTCGGATTTTTTTTTGTGTAAATTGGCGCATTTTGAAAATATTAAATGTTAACATTTTTTTCTGTCAAATTTTTCGGCCGTTAGTTTCACATTTACCATGAAAGCAGGCTATTTCAAAACAGTATTATTACCATTGATAAACAAACAACAAGAAAATCTAAACTGTGAATATAATCCTAAATCGTAAGTGAATAAAAAAGAACCCTGATATTGAATATGTTTGTTTAACACTAATATCTATGAAAATCTAGAGTTTCCTTATTATTTTTCATTCAGAAAAGATAAAAATACTAATATCCCTGATTTATAAAAACTTTAGGCCAAGTTTCTCTCAAATTTTCTGATTCAGTTAATGCTTAAAAGAAAATAATGAATTCGTTTTATTTTAAAATAAGATTATCTAGACTAATCTGTTTTCCTATTCAAAATGGAATAAGGATTTAAAAATTCTAATATAAAACTTTGAAATAATTATAATTTAAAATGGGTCAGTTTAAAATCAGTCTGTTCTAAAACTGTTTCACCCCTCCAAAACTATATTTACATTTGGGATAAAATGCATCGTTATTCGTACACTTTTCATTCTGTCTGCAGGCAGAAGCTAACAACATTTTTTTTCATGAATTTAAATTCAAAAAAATAAATTCCCCCCCCCCAAAAAAAAAAGGCGGTAAAATATTTAAACTTAAAAAATAGTCGTGTAAATATATATTTTAATTGCAGGAGCTAGTGGGAAGAATTGTGTTCTGGATGGTTTCAGCAGATACAGGTGTGTGTCAAAAAAGGATTTTATTAACCTTGGAAGGCTAGGGGGGGGGGGCACAGTGTGGTGAAAGTGAACATTGGTTTAACCTCAATGACAAAAAGTGTCTGTTCTCCGCATTTTACACCAAAATTACAAATGATATAAAAAATATTTAAACAAAAGATTACTAATTTTAATACAGTTTATTCAATTAAAATATTTTCTATTATTTGTATGTTGTAAGTTTTCGTGGGGTGGGTTGGGGAGTGTGTGACACCAGTTCTCGTTAGCTCACTGAAGTTAAGCACACGTATCCACAGCCAATAACTGGATTGAAGTCCAGACTGGTGTTCACGGGTTCGATTTTGATCATAATAAGTTTAAACCCCCCCTTATTGATACCACAATTTGCAGGGGGCGGGGGGGAAGGGATTACCGCAAGCCCGCTCGGGGATATGATTTCAAGAGAAATTAGAAAATAAGTTTTACCAGTAATAATCTATTTATGTTCTCAAAACCATCTAATGGGTTTGATTTGGATTAAATTAAATTATTAAGAACTTTTCAGATTGCAGAGTGTTTTCCGCAGAAACATTAAAGAGATCATGAAATTATTTTTTGTTAATTTTATTTTAAACTTTTGATTTTCGATGTTTACATTGGGTACAAAAGTTACCAAAAAAAGAAGAGACTTCAGAACTTTCATTGTCAGTTCTCCGTCAATATTTACTATTCTTTATTTCTTCACAAAGGAATTGATTCTTTGCCACAAACTCAAATTATCTAATTCGTATCTTTGCAACCTGATGTTGTAATTCTTTGATATTTCAAACTTAGATTATTTGATCTAACGGGATTCGTAGTTTGAAATATCTCAGATCTTCGACGTTGGGTTGCAAAGATATAGGGCGTTAAAGAGTCAATTTCTTTATGGATATAAGACCAAAGACCGTTTCTAAGTCATGGAGACCAAAGACATTTTAAACCGTAAAATCTTCATAAATAAAGAGCATTTGGGCATCATTGAAATCTCACCCTCTTTGTTTAACGGAAAGAAGAACCGTTTAAAGTGACATACTTTTAAGTCACGGTTTTTTTTAAGGATTTACATGGCCGATTCAGGAGGTACCTATCTAATCTGAAAAGAAATAATTTTCAGAAAGAAAAACAAGGATACCTCCATCCTTCTTGACGAGACTAAGGTTTGAAAAAGGTTCCCTTCAAATTACGTCACCAGTCCCTTTAATTAGTTTTATTTTTCAGCCTGGATGCCCGGCTTGCTATTGCTATAACGGCAAACTTTGTAAATCGGTGGAGCTCCGAGGAGGCAGCAGTTGAGGAGATAGGAGGACTCAGCAGGTTTATTTGAAAAAGTTTTTACATTTTTTAAAGACACAATTTATTTGTTTGTCTTAAACCTTAGTTTGAAAAAAAAAAATTTTAAGAAAAGAGAAATGAAAAATTGTCTTTAAACTTTAGTTTTCTATACCAATGTCGGAACTTTAGTTTTCTATACCAATGTCGGAACTTTAGTTTTCTATACCGATGTCGGAACTTTAGTTTTCTATACCAATGTCAGAACTTTAGTTTTCTAAACCGATGTCGGAACTTTAGTTTTCTATACCAATGTCGGAACTTTAGTTTTCTATACCAATGTCAGAACTTTAGTTTTCTAAACCGATGTCGGAACTTTAGTTTTCTATACCGATGTCGGAACTTTAGTTTTCTATACCAATGTCGGAACTTTAGTTTTCTATACCAATGTCGGAACTTTAGTTTTCTATACCGATGTCGGAGACCTTCTATACGTTAAACTATATGAACTCTGCTGGATCATAAAGTTAAAGTTAAAAATGCCAAGGTTTTCACCATCTACACTTCTATATTTGTGCATCTGAAGTCCACATCCACATTCACACGAAAATACATGCAACACTAACAAAAATAATTTAAACATTCCTGTATTTCAGGCAATACGATCAGGACTTCTTTAAAGAAATGCATCAGGAAACAGGAGTTGATCTTGAGAATATTGTATATTATAAAGACGAGGTAAGGATCAGGAAAAAGGAGAATATTGTTTATTATAAAAACGAGGTAAGGATCAGGAAACAGGAGAATATTGTTTAATGTAAAGAGGAGGTAAGGATCAGGAAACAGGAGAATATTGTTTACTATAAAGACGAGGTAAGGATCAGCCAAACAGGAGAATATTGTTTATTATAAAGACGAGGTAAGGATCAGGAAACAGGAGAGTATTGTTTACTATAAAGACGAGGTAAGGATCAGCCAAACAGGAGAATATTATTTATTATAAAGACGAGGTAAGGATCAGGAAACAGGAGAATATTGTTTACAATAAAGACGAGATAAAAATCAGAGAACAGGAGAATATTGTTTACTATGAAGACGAGGTAAGAATCAGAAATCAGGAAAATATTATTTACTGTAAAGACGAGCTAATAATTAGAAAACAGGAGAATAATGTTTTTTTATAAAGACGAGGTCATAATCAGGAAACAGGATAATATTGTTTACTGTAAAGACGATATAAAATTAGGAAACAGAAATTTAATTTTAACTAAAGTGATATTTTAGCTAATATCTCAAATATTCGATCTATTTATATAAAATGATAGATTGCACAAGAATCTGATGTTATTTATATAAGGAGAAAATATGGTCTGATCTGAGCAAAAGAAAAAAATAGAAAAAAAATTATTTTTGCATAATATAAGAATATTTCCTTATTGTAAACGGTTACTTTGCAATAAAAACGATTGTGCAAAATGTACATTACATATATTTTTGCAAAGTCGTTATCTATCATTCATTAACAGTTGAAGAATCGAGCTACAAGGTTTAATTTGGTTCTAGTGCTTTAAAAATTTTGTTGGATGAAAATTTGACATTTCTTAGCGTGTTATTAAATAAGCTCTACTTCTAGGTTCATTACTTTGTGATGACCGCTAAGAAAGAAAGTTTGCTGAAGGAAGGGGTTCTTATAGAAGATCTACAAGATGATCACGACGATCCTAATGGAAGAGGAAGGTAAAGTGTATTCTTTTATCCAGGTTGAATAAGCATTATAAATTCATTAATTTTGAATAATATATTCAATACAGTTGCATAAAAATCACTCACAATGTAAAAGCGTGATTATTTACATATTCGATTCTGAATTTTTGAATAAAATATTCAATAAATAGGAATATTCCTATCCAATTGGATTCGACTTGGCAAACAAAATTAGTCAAAATTTAGATAAATTTTTTCAATATTATTGTGCGAATCGCGTGACTAGAAAATATTGAATAAAATATATACAATAAAAAGTTTTACAGTGTAGTACGGGCAAACTTCTAGTTTTCTATAGATGTAGTTAGCGTAATTTCAAGTGATTCTTATTGCAAAGATGTCAATGTCTACGATTCACCACGGTACCCTTGAAACCTTTCTCTATATTTTTCTTTGCATAAAATTATTTCTTAAAATGTAGATACCCTAAAAATTTCGAAATATCTATTGCGATATTTCATCCCAAGAAGAATAAAAGAAGACGACAATTATTCCTCTGTTTTATGGGTTCTACTGTAAACTTAACTTTGACGAAATGGATCCAAATTTCAATTATCGAAAGCAGAACTTGTCAATAAAGTTAAAGTTTGAAAATATTTTTCATTTTCCAGATCAAGAATATTGTTAGACTTAATCAATTTAAAATAAGATAGACNAAGCTTAAATCAAGAATAAAATAAATTAAAAGTTTCCCGTCTTTTGTGTAAAAATAGTTGAAGGTAGTTAAGAGGGAGTATTTATCTACCATTACTCAGCTGTAAAACTTGAAAAAATCTTCGACACAATTTAATTTATAAAACCTATAAAACTTAAACACAATATAGTAAGGGCCGGGGGAGATCCCCGAAATATTAAGATTTGAATTCTAGGATCAGTCATTTGTGTCAATATTGAAAATTCATAAAGACGACTTAATATCATTAATATTAGTTTTTTGTTTAAAGACACATCCATATCTAGTGCGCTAGTGATAGTTTGTTCGTTCTTGTGTTTAAACACACATCCATATCTAGTGCGCTAGTGATAATCTATCTATCTATCTATCTATCTATCTATCTATCTATCTATCTATCTATCTATCTATCTATCTATCTATCTATCTATCTATCTAGGATCCTACGGCCTAGCAATGTTAATCGTGAGAAGCTGCTTGACTATGCTAAGAAAGCTGCTCTCTACGCTACGGAGAAGAAATCTACGAAGCTTCCTCACACGGACTGGAAGATGCTTCCTAGAGGTCTTTAGGATGTTTTACAAAAAAAAACTAATTTGCATTTATTTTCTTCTTTTTAAAAATAATCGGTGTTTGGTTCGTTTTGCCAAGTTTTAGGATTAAAATTGATAAAAGCAAACTTTAATCTAAGATTATTGTGAAGTGAGGGAAGTTGTTAAAAGTTAACAATTAACAGAAATTTTCTAAAGTACTGTGCTCTTGACATTTGAAAATGGTGGTAAATTAATTTTAATTAATTTTATTTTTAAAAAGATTCGATACAATCGATAAAACCTTTACTTCAGTATTGAATTAGGAAAGTAACTTTGAGATTGTTATTTTGAAAGTAGTATGTCCATCTAGACGCCTGAGTTGGTTTGAAATTGAAATAGTCGTCAGCTGTTTTTTCAAGCATGGTTCGTTCTTAACCATCAATCATTCATAACCAGTTTATTTAATTCTAAAAATATGATGAAACTTTCAGACCTATTGATATTTTATGCAGGAGATAAGGGGGAACCTGATTGCTGCATATTTGATTTCACAAATCTCTACGCAGCAAGGGTGGCCGCACGTGTAACGGTAGCCATTTTGTTAAATTCAGTATTTATTAAAGCAAAATAATTGAATAGTAATTTCAAACCGTTTCTTTCATCAAAAAACATCCAAATCATTCAATTAAAAATTGTTGAAAATTAACAAAAAATTTTAGGTTTCTTTTAAAAGAAATCGAAATTGAAAATTCTTTATATCTTAAGAAAAAATGACAGTCCACGTGAAAGTATGGGCTAAGGCGATATTTTTACACTTCATGTTACGTATTTTCCGACTATATGACTAAATGACTCTATCCTGTCTGGTAATATGACTAAATGACTCTATCCTGTCTGGGAACTGGACTTTTCCTTACTTTTAAAAGAATACTATATAAGTTTATATTTTACAGTGATGTTCTAAATAAGCCGGTGTTCTGCACGGAGCGGACTTGATACTATAGTTTTAATCATTTTAACACAATGTTAGACATAAAACGTAATATCAAAACATTAAAAATTATTAGTTGACATATATTTAAAGTGCACTTAGTTCTTAAATGTATTTTAAAGGGGATATAGGCAAAAAAGGTTATTTCCTCTTGAATGTCGTCTTACTTTCAAATTATCAAATAATTAATATTTACTCGAGACATAAAGAATTTTTAATGTGTTTTTCAAATCAAAATAGATAATAAATATCGGAAACTGTCATAACATTGCTTTTTATGTCTAACGTTGTGTAGAAATGGTTAAAACTTTTGGGGGAGTCTGCCCCATGCAAGAGTCCGCTCCATGCATGACACCGGTAAAATATGAATTGATTGATAACTTAAAAGTCGTCTTTGACCTTAAAAAGCTTGCCTCATTCAACATGAGTAACTTGATTTTAGCATTATTTTTTTGTAACAATAATCACAAAATAGCCATAATCCTGTGATTGCCAAAATGTGGTCTGTCATTTTTTTGGCTCTCAAATTTTTTTGTTTGTTTACGTTCTTGAGCTGTACGTCCTAATACGTCACAGTATATCCTCACATCTGATATTCTTCTTTCTTTATAGTGAGAAACTTCTTGATTTCAGGTAAGAAAGGGTCAACCTCTTCTTGGAGCAATTGTAGGAGACAGCTTACTGGAACCCTTCTGGCCAGAAGGTTAACATTCTATATATAAACTTTGCTTGTCTATATGTCTGTCCGTTTGTATCCAAAAAACGTCAAAACGGCTGAACCGATCCGGACCAAATTTGTTGTGGAACCTTAAATGAGACCCCAGGAAAGGTTTATGGATGCTTAAAATTATAAATTTTTGTGTCCAAAAGTTTTTGATTTTTGTAAAATTTTTATATGCGCGCAAAAATATTATGAAATCCGCAAATTTTTTTTTTATTATCTTATACTGTACGTACATAGAAAACAGAAATGTAAATACGCAAATTTTTTTTTAATGTTTCATCAAATGGAAAATGCTGTAAAGATTGAGCAACAGTTAAAAGTTTAAATCGAATATTGGCGCGAAGCTCCCCTAATAACTTAGGTCTAGTAAATTTTTCTAAGACTTTTTGTGATTCATGAATGAACGTTACAAAACTGAAAACTAATTATATTTTCCTAGATTGAGATATTTTGATTCAAAAAGTAATCTGAGACTTTCCAGTTTTCTAAATAACCACAACCAATTTTAATTTTGATCTTTTAAAAACTATTCACTGAAAATGTTGAATTGAATATATCAAAAACTAGTTTCAGTGTCCAACGTTGCCCGTGGAGTAAAAAAATGGATTTGTTAAGCCTATGTTACCTCCGGATACCCAAGAGTTCCATTAAAAAATGTCAGCCCATTCGGTACAGCCGTTTGGCCAGTCATAGCTAATATATAAAAGGAAAATGACAAGGTACAGTGTATGTCCCAATATTAGCAGAAAGGAAAATGACAAGGTACAGTGTATGTCCCAATATTAGCAGAAAGGAAAATTACAAGGTACAGTATATGTCCCAATATTAGGAGAAAGGAAAATGACAAGGTACAGTATGTCCCAATATTAGGAGAAAGGAAAATGACAAGGTACAGTATGTACCAATATTAGTGGAGAGGGAAAGGGAAAGTACGGTGTGTCCCATTATTAGCAGAGAAATAAGTATAAAAGTAGGATGTGTCCCAATATTAGTGGAAAAAGAAGTAGAAAAGTACGATATGTCCCTATCAGCGTGGAGAAAGAAATAGAAAAGCACCGTGTGTACCAATATTAGTGGAAAAAGAAATTGAAAAGTACCGTGTGTAGTGTACCAATATTAGTGGAAAAAGAAATAGAAAAGTACGGTGTGTTTATATACATATATATAGTATGTACTTCAAAATAACCAAGCCCATTGTATTAACTCTAAAGTGGAGTGAATGTATTCATTTGTTTTTAAAGCTCATTAAATTTAAAGACTCGGATCAAATCTAGTTTTTGGAATATTCTAGATGCAAAAATATCATTTAAAGAAATGAGTCTGGAAATGAAACAATCTCTGAATAACGAGCTGGGGATTAAGGTTTGATTAAACAACTGGAATTTAAATGCAAAAACCTACAGAGTAAACCCACTCGTAATGTGTTTAGATGAACAAACAATATCAAAATCTTCAATTATTTAATCAAATATACACGGTTTTTTATCTCAATTTGAACCAGTGCAAATTATAAGACTTGAAAAATTGAAGAAGAATATTATAAAAAAAGAGAAACATCGCTAGATCATGTTAAGATCTTTTTCAATTTATATTAAATTTATGCAGCAAAATAATCATTTTTTTATAATGTGATTTTAGTTTTTTTAGCATCATTTTCTTATTGATTTTATTTTTTTTCAAAATTTTCACTTTATCTTTCTATAAATTAAAATATCTATCATCTATTATTTATTTTATATTTTCTAAAATTTCAGATCTATTCTGAACCAAACTACGGATGGAAACCTGGTCCAAAACTTTAAAAACTTTAGTCTCAACCCAGAATCCAGGTATAGTGTTCGACAGTAGGAATCTGAAAGCTGTAATATCTTTTTTGTAAAATAAAAACCTTCGAAAAGTATAAAAACTATGCAATCCAGGGTCCGAATCTTATAGATTACAGATAGGTCGTTGAACTCCCTATACTGCCGGTTCAAATATGTATAATCGATGCAAAGTAAAGAAGCATGGACTAAATTAATGATTTTTTTAGGTGGTTCAAGATTTGAACCGGCAGTATAGGTAGTTCAGCGACCTCTTTAATTCATTAAATTCGGTCCCAGGTCGGATAATCTCTAGCTCTTCCACAGAAAATTTGAATTTTGACTCAAACGTTTTTTCTGAGACCGAATTTTATGAATTTGCGGAGTCGCAAAAATGCCTACCGCCTGGTTCAAATTTTAATATTCGATTCAAATCCTTCCTGAATCTTTAACTTTGAATCGGTGTTTCAAATTTGAATTGGCAGTCGATCTTTTAGCGACGTAGCTCAAATTCATTAAATTTGGTCCATGGTCTGTTTAAATTCTTTTATTTTAGCAATAATTTTTTGTTACTTTTTTAGATACGTTTTCTTTAGTATAAGATGAATCTATATCGTATATCAGAGCTTACCAACCTTATTTTTTCTAATTCTTTTCCCGCAACCGTAATATTGTCTAGATATTCTGATGTTTGTTTTTAATCTCGATGTGATGAATTACTTTTCATTTCTTACAAAATAATAATCATTTCATAGTTGTATTAATTACTTTTTAGTCGGAAAAACAAAATACATATTTATTTTCTTTTTCTCTGCGTTGAATTTTAATTTTAATTAAAATCTGAATAATGCGATGGAAATTATAATTTTACTTTTAAATAGAGATGAGTAGATTTAAAGCGGAAAATATTATTCCATTATATTCCATTATATTCCATTATATTCCATTATATTCCATTATATTCCATTATATTCCATTATATTCAATTATATTCCATTTTATTCCATTATATTCCATTATATTCCATTATATTCCAATTTATTCCATTATATTCCATTATATTCAATTATATTCCAACATATTCCATTATATTCCATTATATTCCATTATATTCCATTATATTCCATTATATTCCAATTTATTCCAGTTTATTCCATCATATTCCATTTTATTCCATTATATTCCATTATATTTCAATTTATTCCATTCTATTCCATTCTATTCCATTATATTTCAATTTATTCCATTATATTCCAGTTTATTCCATTATATTCCATTATATTCTATAATATTCCATTATATTCCATTATATTCCATTATATTCCATTATATTGAATAATATTCCATAATATTCCATTATATTCCATTATATTCCATCATATCTTCTTAAGATGTGGAATAACCTGCCTCTTGACTTAAAAAGAAGCAACTCTCTAAGTATATTTAAAAATAGACGACTAAATTCTCTTTTTGAAAATTATAGGACAATGTGTTATAAACCGAATTGCTATTCATGTAAAACTAATTAGATATGTTTTAATATGCTTTGATATTTGTTGTGTACATGTATGAAAATTACTTTAAACTCTAGTTATTCGAATTTATGTATAAACTATTTTGCATATGATAAATTCGCACCCTGATCTCTAATCGTTCTCCTTAAATCTATTTAATTGAAATATTTTGTTATTATTACTAACATTAGGTGGAAAAAATAATCAAAACAGCCAAGAGCTATTTTCCACCTAATTGCTTTATACTTGTACTGTTAATATAATCATCAATTTTGTGATTGTAAACTCTATCTGTATACAGATACATTTATTTTAGCAATAAACTTTATCTTATCTTATCTTATATTCCGTTATATTCCATTATATTCCATTATATTCCATTATATTCCATTATATTCCATTATATTCCATTATATTTCATTATATTCCGTTATATTCCGTCCTTTTTATTCAGGTATAAGATAATCCCGAAGAAGTATGACAAGGAAAAGATTATGAAATATTATGATTCAGATAATCCAGACGAACTTGTCTTTCTCCAGGATAGGTTTAAGGTAGGGGGAATATATATGATCCATCCTTTCTCCAGGATAGGTTTAAGGTAGGAAGAATATATATGATCCATCCTTTCTCCAGGATAGGTTTAAGGTAGGAAGAATATTTATGATCCATTCTTTTTCCAAGATAGGTTTAAGGAATGGAGAATTTATATGATCCATCCTTTCTCCAGGAATGATTTAAGGTAGGGAGAATTTATATGATCCATCCTTTCTCCATGATAGGTTTAAGGGGGATGACTACAGATAACGCACCCTTTCTCCAAAATAGGTTTAAGGTAGGAAGAATATATATTTATATAATCTATCCATTCTCTAGGAAAGGATTAAAGTAGGGAGAATATATGATTGTCGATACAAACTTGTCTTATCCAGGATAGGTTTAAAGCAGGGATAATATAGAGAAGGGAATTGAGTTTTTGCCACAAGCTCAAATTTTCTAATCCCTCTATCTTAGCAAGTTAACCGTTTAAACCTTTTATAATTCAAACTTGGACTATTAAATCTAACAGAATTTATAGTTTAAAATATCAGAGGTCTACAACATCAATTTGAAAGAAATAGTGATTAGAAAATCTGAGTTGGTGGCAGAAACTCAACTCCTTTACTTAATATACGAGGTATTTTTTAAGGCATTTCTAGAGACGTTTCAGTCCTGTATTTTTTTTTTCAAAGCTCACTGTATCCATCCCGGTTTTCTTCTCAAAGCGGACTTTTTTCATCAAACTCATTATTTCTATGTAATTTGCATTTTCACGGAGGTTGTTCAGTTCCGTTGTCCAGCACAGGAATGTTTATTGTACCAACCCGGGAAAAGAGGACACTTGGGATGCAAATATTCGGGCCTGAAACTTTCCCAACACAAAACAGACACCTTTGACATGATCCAAATTGCATGAGAGGAGAATAATATGGACAAGGGCAACAGTCTACATATGGACTAAAAGGGAAAAAGTGTAATGGAGAGTGTTAGCAAAAAGAGGAAATGTCTAAGTTGAAAAAAACCCCACAAATTAAAAGTTTCTCAGACCAAATTCGCGAGGATTCTTAGTTCATGAAGTTTGATGAGTTTATTATCCACTATGGGGCTGCATACAAAGTTGTAAAGCAAGATTTGAAAAATGGCAAAGATTTGGAAAAAATTTGCTTGTAAACGTAGATTACAACTATAAAACCCCTCAAGGACCCTTTCTACAATAAAGACTTACCCTTCTTTGATTTTTAAAGTTTACCCAGCCTCTAGAACACGCATGGATGGATAAAGTTTGAGTATTTAGATAAAAATATTTAGGCCGTGACAACCAATGTTTACGGGCTCCGCCGGGAGAAAGCTTATTGCGTCCAAAATACTATCTAATCGACATTAACTGGTCAGAAAATTGAACTGATATCAATAAAGTGATCGAAATTTTAAAAAAATTAGGGGTTGAGATGTCTTGAAGTACCTAAAAAACTCGTATATACATTTCTTTGCATGATGATTAACGAGAAATAATTATGTTTAGGAGACAAGATTTTTCGACAATGCTCAGCACAAAAGTATTCTCAAGAAGTTTAGATCAAAGTTCAGCAAGGGGAAGAAAGATGGAGAAAAAACTAAAGATGGAAAGAAGACTACAGAAAAATAATAATAAAAGATCAAGAGAATCAGCACGTTCAGAGTGTTCACAAAACTAGAATTCGGATTTAAATTAAACCAATTCGAATTTTAGAATCTTTAGAAACTCATGGAGTTTGTGTACAAGTTTCGTAATTCAATCAATTTACATCCAGCTCATCCAGCACCTCTTTTTCATTTTCACGTGCACTCCCTTTTATTCCCCCTATCCTTGCTAGAATATTCATGTTTAAAGGTTGTATAAATTGTTTTTCATTATTATTCAGAGAGAGGTTTTAACATTGTAACAAGATAATCCTTTCAATGCTAGAGAACATCTTTTTTATATTAATGATTTCCCCGGATAGGAGGGTTATCCCCCCCCCCCCCTCCTATCATTGATTCTTTTGATTTCCCCGGATAGGAGGGTTATCCCCCCCCCTTCTAACATTGATTCTTTTGGTTTCCCGGGATAGGAGGGTTTCCCCCCCCCCTCCTAACATTGATTTGGTTTCCCCAAAATCATGTTTACAATTAAAAATTATCATATTTATGTATTTCATCTAAATATAATAATTCTTTTGCAGTGAATGGAAATTTTTAAACACAAAATAATTTGAGAGAGAGGAAGAGTAAAAGAACATCTATCTATCTGTTTGTTTGTTTGTTTGCAGCCAATAAACGTCAAAACGGCTGAACTGATCTAGCCCAATATTGTTGAGGCAAATCACATGACCTCATAAGATGATCAAAATTAACATGTTCAAAATTTAAAAATTTGTCTGAAAAATTTGCCTTTAAGAAATTTAGATTTTTTCAAAATCTACCAAAAAAATACGAGAAAAGAGCGCCATGGAAGCCTAGTATTTCTAAAAAGCAGAAATGCGGATAATATTGATTTTAGTTGGTATTTATAACTTTCTCTTAATTAACAATATTATCATTTTTTGTTAAATATCATTTCTGGCATTTAATAAATTTTTTTATGCAGATATTTCAAATATTGATTAGAGGTATGGAATTCCACCTCTATCTACTGATAAAAGTTCAGAAAGTTGTATTAGAAACATTAAAAACTGCACCTTTTAAGTACGAGTACATGTGATTTGCGAAAAAATCGTGAAATGTATGACCATATATATATATAAATGAAGGTAATATGATCAATAGAATTAAATTTTAGGTATGTTCAATGACATTTTTTCTGCATCTAAAATGCATAACCAACCAAAAGATTAAATATTTACATTGATCCATTCATTAACTTCTTTCATTAAAAACAATATAGAAAATAGAAAAAAATTTAAGCATTAATGAGCTCATAAAAATTAAGATTTATTATTTACAAACACTTCAGAGTTAAGTTAAGGGAATTTTACTTTACCAGGGGTCAAGGGATGTAAGGACAGAGATCAGGGTTCAATTGGAATCTGGAATTTAGGTATAGATCGAATGGTGACATACAGTACATTGAACAATTGTGTATTGCGGCATCTGTGTGTCTAAACTTGCTCCAACAAGGCTTCATAAGACCAATTTTGCCCACAAAACATCCAAAGCGTAGACAAAATTGGTCGAGGGAACCCGTGGTAAGGTAAAAATTTTATTTCCGGTAAAAGTAATTAAGTACTGCAATTTTATTGTCATTTGAGATGGTCTTTTTTTGCATAACTGTCCCAAGGGAAGTCAAAATACTTAACCTCCTTCTGTTTAGGGAAACATGGGTCGGTAAGTTAGGTGAGAAGGCGGTAAAAAGATTAAACACAAAGGATGAGACTTGAATGCCGAGTTCAAACTCATAAAGGTTGAAATCGACCTCGTGTACATATATAAGGTTGACAGATAACAGCAACACACCAGATAAATTTGAACAATAGGCCCGTCGGAATTCTGGTGAGGGATATTTATTCTCCTCGGACAATCCTTTCCCGGTTGGCCGCAAATACACACAACAGAGTAACCCCCGTCTCAAGAAAATCGATAACAAAAGCTTTATTTACTAAAAAATAACATAAATTATAGGTCATGGTTACTTGTACAATGTTATAATAAATATTAATAATAGAAAAAATCTTACGATTTATTTGGGGATGTTAAGGGGAAACTTATTGTTGATCAGTATTGAAATACGTTTTTTAAACTTCTGAAAATAAATTACAGTTGAATATTTAACGAAATTCACTAATTCTATGAAAATATTCTTGATTAACTTTAATGATTTCACAATAAACGAAAGTGTTTTAGGCTCTGTCCCACGGAGAACAAAGAGAATGGGGGCTGAAATTATTTGGTTTGGTTTTCTCCGATAGGGGATTTTAAGTTGAAGACGACATTACCCGGAGGTCTTAAGTTAATGGTTAACAATGTCATAAGCAGCGGCGCAACTAGGGGGGGGGGCGGCCGGGCGCTCGCCCTCCCCTAGTACCTGAGAGGGGGGGGGGCGCGCCCTCCCCTGCAGAATGAAAAGAAAGAAAGAATGGCGAAAATCAGTATCACAGGAATAAGAAAACCAATAGAGTTATTGTAGAAATTTTATTATACTATGGTTAGTTTTAAAAAGAATATTTTTATCTTTCTCAATTCTCAAGGCTAAAGGCTATTGTAAACATTTAATGTAAAAAAAAGTTCTGAACTGTATTTCATTTGTGTTGAGTTTATAGAGTACTCGTAGATATCAAACTTTGAATTCTTATGGTAAAATATTCCAAGTTTGAAATATCAAATGTTTACGCCACTCGGTGCAAAGATTTAGGGATTAGAATATTTGAGTTTGTGGCAAAAACTCAGTTCCAAATCTAGAGAAAATTCTGAACCTGGCAAATTTCTAACTGATTTTCATATTTGATAACTAACAAGATTTATCTTCTTTGACAGAAGTTCTGTAAAATCGAAAATGAATTTAGATTATGAATGTTGGTTAGATCAATCATTAATTCAATAACTTCAAGAGAAAAGGTAACATTATCTGTCCTTTTTCAATGTAGATGATTGAAATTATTATTTACCTATGTATTTTTATGTTTTTTTTCCAGAAACTATAAATGTTTATTTCTTGCAATTTAATCTGTAATTAAACCAGGTACTTAAAAAATACTCTTTTGCGATTCGCACACATATTCAATGAATTGACTCATATCATTCATTTTACAGCTGTTGGAAGTATAAATTTTGTAAAGAACACAAGAACAAAAAATCGATTTGAATTGAACACAGCCAAATCTGCATGCAAAAAATTAAAATTTCCTTTTTTTCGACTTCAAACCCTTAAAAAAGCACTTTTGTTTTTGAAAAAATTTCGAAAAAGGGGGGAAACCCCCCCCTTAACCCCCCCAACCCCAACAAAATAATATATTGCCCCCCCTAGCAAAAGTCCTAGTTGCGCCTCTGGTCATAAGAATGAAAATCTAAGAAGAAAATGGTATTTTTCCATTCTAATTGAAACCATAAAATTAAAATTTAATTAAAATCTAAACTTTTTTCTCTAATTCTCTTTCTGAGAATGTAACCTTGTAAATTAACATTTAAAGAATAAAGAATAAGATTAATTGTTTTTTCATCCCCCATTAATTCAGAAGCCTGCATTCATATAAAGATCTGATTACAACTCTGGTTATACGATAAAATATATTAACAATACCAAGTTTGCTTTAATAAAGTAAATTAAGTTATTTTTAAACTAAACTAAAATATAAAGGTTTAGGCTCTACAAAGTAAATTAAATCAAAATAATAAAGGTTCAGACTCTTCAAAGTAAATTTACCTAAAATAATAAAGGCTCAGACTCTTTAAAGTAAACTAAACTAAAAAATAAAGTTACAAGTTAAAAAAAAAAAGTTACAGGGTCTACATTCTACAAAGTAAATTACGTCTATAGATTAAAGTTTCGTACTCTGAAACTTTAATTAAAATAATCTTTATATTCCCAGAGAAATCAATATTCCCCTCAAACAAATAATCCTGGAAAAAAGACATTAAAATTAATGATTTCTTTGTATTGTACGAATTATACCGTTGTACAGACAGTACCCTTCAAACCTTCATTCATGAACTAGGTCGCTTTTTAGGAAAACAATAGATCAGAGAAACATTATTAAAAATTTCATCAAAACGTAATAAAAGGTTTACAATTCCATATCCTATTGCATTTGGAGAAAAAATCCTTCTAGCTAAAGTTTCTGTTCCAGCTCCCAAAAGGTTGTTAAAACCAAATTCTCATCTTTTGTGGGTAACCCTGAAAAAAAGGCCCGTAAAGAGGTTTATTCCCAAAGTTATATCTAAAGTGTGAACACTTATGATGGTAATTTGAAGTACTTTTTTTATAAAGATGGAAAATAAGAATATTAAGAGGGATTAGTCCTGACACCAACTTTATATATAATTTGCGTATCTGTTTGTTTGTTTGTTCGTTTGTAACCGATAAACGTCAGAACGGCTGAACCGATCAGGCCCAAATTTTATTTGGGACCTTACATTATCACCCAGGGAAAGGTTCAGGTGCTCAGAATGACAAAACAAAGAGTTGTTTCCAAAAATCAAAAAAATTTTGATTTTCGAAAAATTTAGAAAATCCACGAAAAAATGTTTAAATCCGCCAAATTTTTTCATTTTAGTATTATCGAAGAGAAGATGCTAAAATAATCAAAAGTTGAAATATAAGGTGCACGCTTCGAGCCTAAAAAAGCCAAGTAATGTATATAAAAAGAAACTCACATGTTGTTTTATGAGTTGGAGAAAGGTTTTTACACGTATATGTGTGTCTTTAAATGAATTGACAAGACATCGAGGAATTTAACAAATTTATCTTTCTTAATTCATAATTTTTGGACTAAAAATTTAGTTTTGTTTTTTGCATTTGTAATGTTTGTTTCTAGTAGAAAAATATGTAAAACTAGCTTAGATGCCCGGCATTTCCCAGGTTACTCATGCTTACTCCGGCCTTTTACCCTCGCTTCGTCTTAAAACAAGCTTTAATCAATTTAGATTCTTAAAACCAAGCTTTGAACCTTCCCGTGGTTCTCCTGTACCTAAATCTTGGAAATTAATTTCGTGAATAAAAAATAACGTTTCAAAAAGTTTTAGAATTCATTTTTAGAATAAGCTGCAATTGAATTTTGTTTAGATAAGATTGATATTCTGAAATATATGTATATATGAGAATATATGGTCAATCTCGATATCTAATGCGGGTACAGTATAAATATATGAATATATGATTGATCTCGATATCTAATGCGGGTACAGTTAAAATATGAGAATATATGATTGATCTCGATATTTAATGTGGGCACAATTTAACTATGAGAATTTTGATGCATTTAATTTTGTTGCATCTATTCATTAAGTTGTAAAATACTCCTGACAGTATAATCGGGCGGTTATCGTTTTTTTTTTTCCCCGAAGGAGGAAATAATTTTTCAATGTAAACTGTACAAAAAATAAGAACCGCTCTTTCACCACCGGAAATAATTCTACAATTTCCATCCTTTAGATTTCTTTTTTTAAAACCTATACAGGTATTTTCTAAAACCGCAATTTTTTGTAATATAGTTAGACGAGAAGCCATCAGGACCTGAACGCTGGAGACAA